TAGGCAAACACGTCATTAACAAACTTTTCCTTTGCTAAATTCGACACTGCAAATATAACTTTCTTCAATGCATTTTTATTTGTTTCATTAAGAAAATATTTCGAATTAAAACTTAGCATTCCTCAAGTCAGACTTCAACAAACTTAAATTATGTTCACGGAACCTATAAACGCGTCCATCGGCTCAAATGAAAATTTGAATCTATTAGGAAAAAGACATCTGAGTTCGCCAAATTAAAAAGGACTTCAATTTGTGAAAAAGTGTCAATATTGTCTGCCATGTGAGAGATTTCTAAAATGTTGGCCTCACATTCCCCTATCAGTCGACCAATGCAGCATAATGCACAACGCCGTTTAATTTAGTCATTAAAACGTCCTGAACAAAAAAAAAAAAAAAAAAAACTTTCAGAGAAGACGTCTTACATTATAGGATAAGCTCGATTACAACCATTGAACTAACCTGAGTCTGCTTGGGCAAGGCACTTTCCCATTGCATCAGCACTTTGTAACGAATTTATGTTTTTGAGCTGTAAAACACCAAATAAAAGTATTGCATCTTGTAATAGGGTACGTACAGCAACTCAGTCTTAAGTCCTCCAAAACCCAACGATCAGCCTTCATTCATCTCCCGTCAATAATAAAACAACTATTTTAGGAACTTTGGAGACCCAATAATAATAGTAAAAATTTAAGTAATGCATGCTTACGTTATTTCTGGATATCGTTTCAGCAAATTTAGATCAACAAGCTAGCTTCGAAGCAATTTCCTTTCATTACCTAGTACAACAGGAAGTGCAGAAGAGTATGTGCGCATGCGTTTCGAGAGTTTTTATTTTCTTTATTTCCGTTTTATTAATTTATTTTTTTAAATATTTATTTATTTTTTATTTGTTTATATATTATTTATTTAATTAGTTATTTTGTTTTTTTTTTACTTGGTTTCTTTTCTCGCACTAGTTTGTGACTGGTATCTAACAAGTGAGAGGGTATGGATACCAATCTGCAAGGTAGCTAGCTCCCTCTCTCTCTCTCTCAAACCAAATAATTTCTCACGCAGTCATCTGCATTGATGTGATATATGAAAAAACCATGTGATTTATGATCTCTTCCACTGAACAACTTCACCTAAAGACAGTTCAGAAATACACCATATAGTATTCACAGCAAGGTTTCCGAGGAACGAAGTCTTGCATTTTTTCCGAGTTATGGAACTTCAATGGAAAAAAAAAGCTCAAACGTTCAAATACCTGCTATATGCAACACATTTATTCCCCACCCACTCTCTCCAACAAGCAAACTATGCAATGAAAGGCAATCGATTGTGTACATTTTAACTTGTATTAACAATAATTTAAAATAATCCGGTGTATACATCCAAAATTGTGTTCAACTTTTGAAAGTAAGTAACGAAGATATCGCAATGTTCATAATTTGTTCAAATAAGAACAGGATAAGTTGCTGTGAACAAAGTCAATTTCGAATTTATTTTATTTTATTATTTTTTAATTTTATTATTTATTTATGATTGGAACGCAGGTCCAGATCATTTTAAATGATAATTCATTGATATTTAGTCTGAAATAAGCCAATGGATTATCTTTTTCAAGCGAATCCAACCCTGGCGCGAATTGTACTAGAAGTTACTTGTTTTTCCTTTTCTCGTAAACAACCATTGTTTACTAGAAATTCCTACGCATTCAAATAATTTGTCTCTAATACATGGCAACATCACAACTGCCCGTTTTCTCCTTATAACATTTCCGTAACGTAGCGCCAGCACTTCACGCCGTTAAAATATACATACAAATCAAAATACCAAACGCAAGGAACTATTTTCTTAACTTATCCCTCGATCCGTAAAATCATAATTTTAAGACTCATTTTGCCTGTAAGTCAAACAAATGTAACAAAGAATCATCCATCTTTACAAAGTCGGACCCAAGCTGGAGACTGCGTTTTCCAATAGACCTTAGCGTACCAAAGCGAAATATATTCGTCCTCATTAGTGCGTGTCAGCTGTATATCAAACTCACAACTAACCAGTTTTTTCAGCGACCGGAAAACGGTTACATGAGTCTTTACTTCCGAAAGCAAGGAGAGTCCGAATACTATCATATAAATGATTATAATTAATCTCTAGTCCCTGATGATGAATACTTAATTTTCACGTGCAATGAACAGTCCTTGAGAAATTCTCAATGGATACTGATCTTTTCCAAGCAGAAGATGCACTCTATGCACGGGTGACTATTACTCTTGCTAGGATGATAGCCAAAAGCTTTCCAAGGACACTGTATGAAAAGCATCATAAATGGCAAGTCTTTACACGTCAAAATAAAAATGTAACACAGGACCATCCCTGTTTACCACGACAAAACGTAGGTCAGAGAATGTTTTTGTTTTGTTTTGTTTTTCTCTGGAGAATAACACGTCATTTAAGGACACATAAAAGCCAATCAGGACTTATAGCGTCCAAACTGGAGCCCCATCAATCGACGTCCACAGGTCCATGCTAGCTAGCCTTGACGCAGCCTTCCTGCATCTATATCACCACTCGTACAAATTCTACAGAGACGGAAAACAGTCCGCCAACATCCAAACAATCATAAATATAAGCCACCATTCAACATACTCATGTTTAACGCTAAAGGCAAGATCTTCCATTCACCTATTTCCAAATCTAACTGTATTTAGATCTGCTTCTTTCAAAGCACAAACCTCCCACGTTGCATTCCTATAATATGACACAAATCGAGAAAGATTCTTTGGGGCCTCGACTGGTGTTTTGTCAACCCTAAGGACAGTAGGAAGAATCGCTTCTCGACCCAGCATCATGTTATGTGTGAATCCAAAAGAAGTGTTTAGATTCATGATAGGCCATGCTCATAAAAGAAATGTACTGGTTGCAGTATATCGACAAAATTTAGTTAAATTCCATAGGAGAAATCCTAATTAATTATTATTCAAACCTAATTATGTGTCACCATTTCTACCCAGGGAAGCATTTCCTGTTGCAAGGGTACGTAGAATTCATAATTATGGAAAGACAAGATTATTTTTTCTTTTAAGAAAAAGTTTGAATTAAGAAATATCAAAAGGATTTCATTTTGCTTCCAATTAGTGTATTTGAGTGTGATTTGGATTATCAACGTATCTAAACTAAATTTTCAGTCATATCGTTATGTCTGTAGTGTGGCAGTTTATAGTGAAGTCTAGCACTGGGGCATTATGCATAATTGTAGCACCATGTCCCATCCAGTCACATTTTCCTGACACCAGGCCGAGCAGTCCTAACATATAATAGAGACCAAGACATTCACTAGCACAGTGACTAAAGAAAAACTAAACATTCATGGTCCAAACAAAACGTGCAAAACAGAGAATGTGATTTATCTCATCACATGTAAGATATGTGGCCTTCAGTACGTCGGAGAAACTGAAAAGCTACACAAAAGGATAAACCTTCATAGATTTGATTGGATGACAAAAAAGCTGTACAGAAGCCCGGTCGCAGAACACTTCTCCTCCCCTGGCCACACTTTCAGTGATATAATACTTATCGCTATTGCTAACAACCACAGCTGGAGTTCCAAAACCATGAAGGAAAAGAAATCATACTGGATACGCCGCCTTAGAACATTGAAACCAAGCGGTCTAAATCAAGAAGACTAGAAAATGAAAACTATGCACTAGTAGAATTTAACATTTTCTAAATCTTCTTATTATCCTTGAATTTTTACTATAACAATAACCGGTATAGACTCAAATATCCGGGATATAATCTGCGTTACATATGTACAAAAAGTAAAAATAGATGTCGCTTTGGCTTGTAGACTTTTAGAGAATTATACACCGTTTTCAGTTTCCGCAACTAGTCTATACAAGCTGGTTGTATTTATAGTTTTAACACATGTGGAGACAGCCATGTAGAGGTTTATAAACACAACGTGTTTGTGTTTATTTGTTTGTCGTACATATGTTTTGTATTTGCCTTTGAAAAAGACTAATTAAGAGTCGAAAGCGCTTAGGCTAGTTAGTTACTAGTTTCGTACTGTTCGTTGTCAGTTTATTGCATCTATTTTAATCAATCCCTGACACACGTGATCCCTTGGTGGATCCAGTACGCTTGAAATGGTTGTTATTCGCCATATGATTTGTATTCTTTATATATATATATATATATATATATATATATATATATATATATATATATATATATATATATATATATATATATATATATATATATATATATAATTGCATTAAAATCTAGATGTTATAGATTAATGCTTTTATACTTTTATTTACTTCAGAAGACATGATGTGTAGCTATTAATTGTTTATTGGTTCTTTTAATCTTTATGCTGTAGACACATGCTCAATGTCAGGAGCCATTTACACATGAGGTGCGGGTATATGACTCAGGTGATTGTCGTGAATAAGCGAGTGAGCAGTCACAGTGCACGAAGCGCACGACGGGGAGCTAACCTAGATCCCATGCTACAAATTAAAAGTCCTTAGCTCTGCTTCCTCTGGTGTCACGCCAACAACGTCTTACATATTCTTCTTTTGCATAAGCCTATACAAAGAAAACGCAGATCAGGCTTTCTCTTAGTATCTATATTTCTAATGTATACACGATTTTGCTTCAGCGTTCCTTGTTCAAAATGGCCAGGGACCTTATCGGGTAGCATCTATAGTCAATGTCATAATTCGAGAGAATTTTAACGGTTCTATATATTTCGAGTCTTTGTTTTTGGGTTTTATCCAGTATGATTCCTGTTGGTTCATAAACTACACAAGCTAGTATTGTAGTTAAATCTATTTAAACAACGCCAGTCTCTCTCTCTCTCTCTCTCTCTCTCTCTCTCTCTCTCTCTCTCTCTCTCTCTCTCTCTCTCTCTCTCTCTCTCTCATACACACACACACACACATACACTACTGACACTTTATTTGTTAAAGACACCTGATGCAATAAATTACATCAAAAGTGACCGCTCCGGTGGCCTAATGGTTAGAGCGTTCGCCTCGGATGCCGGAAGGTCGCGGGTTCGAACCTCGGCAGCCATACCAGATACTTTAAAAATGTACTTAAAGCTGCCAAGCTTGGCACTAAGTATTAACAGGTTAGTGTTAGGACAGGTCGGCCTGGTGTCAGGATAATGTGACTAGGTGGGACATCATGTCACATGTCTGCGGCACGATGCCCCAGTGCTAGATACATGTATCACTATAAACTGTCGCACTGCAGACATTGTAGCTGTATGACTGAAAATTTGTTAAAGCTACGTTAAAAATCTAAATCACACACACACACACACACACACACACACTCTATACAATGTATTAGGATAGTAACATTATCATCTTAGAAATATCTAAGTAGTAGAAGTAGTAGCAGTATCTACATTTACATACCTTTGAACTTATAGTTCTATCCTAATATGGTCGGCATTGAAGGATGAATTATACGAAGAAATTAAAGCTACTTTTTCTGGATTTTTAAAAAATAATACTTTTACAAAGAGCCAGAGGATGCAGTTCATTTCCATTTTTAATATTAAATTCTGCCTTACAGTTTTCAAATGCGCTAAATTTGGAATGTATTTTTGTTAATTAATATCTATCATCTTATTGAGGTCCACTTAAAAGCAAATTAAATTAAACTGAAAATTTTCCCGTATTAATTAATTTTCAGCATGCGCAATAGAGTTCATATTTATTAAAGTTTTAGCCTCTTTTTGTATCATTTTGGTTTTATCATGATTTCATTTTAGACCTGGCATTGAATAAGAATAATATAATAGATTCGGAGAGGAATGTAAAGGTTTCTGGGAACTGTCAATGATAAGTGTTATATCATCCGAAAATAATGTAAATTTAGTGTCTTTCATTTTTAACTTCTATATAATTAACATATGTATTACATCTTAGTAATATTAACGCTATTTCAGCACATTGTATAAATGTGTATGGTTGGTTAGATCTCCTTGTCTACAGCCCATTCTTACTACAAAGAAATTTGATATAAAATTAAGTATTGAGTATACAGCAATAACATGGGGCATGTGAATGAAGTTCGAATTCTGGTCCGATATTCAGCAGTATATGGGCTATATATATTCCTTTTTTTTGAGGGGGTGGGGGCACCAGACAGATGCCCCCATCCCAAGTAAAGTATTTTATGTATTTGAGTTTTCCACCTGAAGTGATGCTATGTGTATACTATAAATGAATTTTGATCAAAAATTTTATTTTTAATAATTTTTGATGGGGTATTTTCCTAGTCTATTTACAGGTTCATTCATCCGATAACGTTTCATTTACCTTATCGGGGTCGTTCCCCTTGTTCACATTTATGTGCCCTTGGCAAAGGGTGTCCTATGTGTGCTATGTGTATTGTCCTATAATGTGTGTTGCTATATAGTGTATTTGTTTTGACAGTCGCTAAATCGAATTCAATTCCCCACTTTTATAATTCAAAAAAGTTTATATGCATATTTTATCTCTTTTACTCATATTAAATTCACACTCCTTTCATTCACACCATTCATACTTATTATATATTTATATATTTTATCAGATAATTTTAGTTAATTTTAAAAAAGGTTTATATAACTTGGAAATTTGAAATTTTACAATTTAAAAAACAGTAATACTATTGTCTGGTGAAAATGGTGTGTCGTTTCCCTCTTTATATATATATATATATATATATATATATATATATATATATAGATGCAATAAACTGACGACGAACAGTACGAAACTAGTAACTAACTAGCCTAAGCGCTTTCGACTCTTAATGAGTCTTTTTCAAAGGCAAATACAAAACATAGTTACGACAAACAAATAAACACAAAAACGTTGCGTTTGTAAACCTCTACATTTCTATCTTCACATGTGTTAAAACTATAAATACAACCAGCTTGTGTAGACTAGTTGCGGAAACTGAAAACGTTGTATAATTCCCTAAAAGTCTACAAGCCAAAGCGACATCTATTTTTATTTTGTGTACATATGTAACGCAGATTATATCCCGGATATTTGGTTCTATACCGGTTATTCTTATAGTAAAAATTGAAGGATAAGAAGATTTAGAAAATGTTAAATTCTACTAGTGCATAGTTTTCATTTTCTAGTCTTCTTGGTTTAGACCGCTTGGTTTCAATGTTCTAAGGCGGCGTATCCAGTATGATTCCTTTTCCTTCCTGGTTTCGGAACTCCAGCTGTGGTTGTTGGCAATAGCGATAAGTATTATATCACTGAAAGTGTGGCCAGGGGAGGAGAAGTGTTCTGCGACCGGGCTTCTGTACAGCTTTTTTGTCATCCAATCAGATCTATGAAGGTTTATCCTTATGTGTAGCTTTTCAGTTTCTCCCACGTACTGAAGGCCACAGATCTTACATGTGATGAGATAAATCACATTCTCTGTTTTGCACGTTTTGTTTGGACCATGTATGTTTAGTTTTTCTTTAGTCACTGTGCTAGTGAATGTCTTGGTCTCTATCATATGTTGACAGGTTTTGCATCTTTTATCGCCACAGGGTCCAGATTGACTAGGTTGGTTTTGACTAGCGATTGTTGTTAGCTTGGCCCTGACTAGGATGTCCTTTAGGTTTTTTGGTCTCCGGTAAGCTACTACAGGTTTGTTCGGAAGTATTAGGTTTAGTAATCTGCGTTACATATGTACACAAAATAAAAATAGATGTCGCTTTGGCTTGTAGACTTTTAGGGAATTATACAACGTTTTCAGTTTCCGCAACTAGTCTACACAAGCTGGTTGTATTTATAGTTTTAACACATGTGAAGATAGAAATGTAGAGGTTTACAAACGCAACGTTTTTGTGTTTATTTGTTTGTCGTAACTATGTTTTGTATTTGCCTTTGAAAAAGACTCATTAAGAGTCGAAAGCGCTTAGGCTAGTTAGTTACTAGTTTCGTACTGTTCGTCGTCAGTTTATTGCATCTATTTTAATTAATCCCTGACAGACGTGATCCCTTGGTGGATCCAGTACGCTTGAGAGGGTTGTTATTCGCCATATGATTTGTATTCTTTATATATATATATATATATATATATATATATATATATATATATATATATATATATATATATATATATATATATATATATATATATATATATTACTTCCAGGGACTTTTTTCTTAATGCAGGGTGTAGACATTTCATTTATTAAATATGTTACTCCATGCACTTTTTTTTTTGCATTTTCAAAATATTTGCTATGTGTTATCCAAAATTACCAAAAACAAGTTTGGTTTTTTTTTTTGCTACACATGGGATTTTCGAAGGCTCTTCAGGCCTGCCCACTTCGCGTATCGTCCTGTGATATAGCCCTACGATGTCCTTGTCTCTTACTTCCTTCATGTGCAGATTCCTGTCTATGAAATAGAACAAAAAATAAGTTAAACATTATTAGTACATTGTTAGTTTAGTTAAAATTTCATTTCCTAATAGTTATTATCTGTCCACATTTCTTCATTACTGAAATGATATATTCAATTATTTTCACATATACATCTTTTTTATATAATCATTAATTAAGTGGACAAATGCACATGTATATGAATCACACGAGATCGAGCCTACAAACGATTGAAATTATTCGCAGTGCGATTCAGAATACTCTCATCAAATAAAAGCTGCTCATTTTTGGATAACATGTTTGAGATAACATGTTCTCTGGTGTTCCTGGATGTACTTTAGTAATAAACCCAGTTTATCTTAGAGCAAAAGAAAAAGAGTACTATCCCCTCCCAAACAAGTAAATAAAACAAACAAACAAATACATGTTGGATCCTTTCTCAATCATGTATCAACATCCCTGTGCTAGTCTACTCCTACATCAAAGTAGGTCTGAATTCTCAAACAACGACACTAATTGACTATTTTTCAACAATGTTTTTGGCGTTTAGGAGAGAAGAAAACAAACAAGCTCTCTATTTGGGCCAAAAACCTCGTTTACATGTCTTGGCCAAATGACAGCCACTCCTTCGCACTGTAAAAATGTAATAATAAATTCTGTAGAAGAAACAACCGATAGTAATTATTAATAACATTAGTCTCATTCGAAAATATGATTCTTCAAATGGTTCCGTATGATCTAATATAACACGGTTTATGTAAAAACACAAACTGCATGACCGCTATCTCTAAATTAAAGCCAATTAACATATTTCTGGCTTTGCCATACCCTCTTTCAGAAAGATAAAACAATTTTTTGTCTTAGATTACATAAGAGAAATTAGCATGAAGCACACATAGTCCAACATCTAGGATATTATAACTTCCAAACATAAAAACTTCTTTCCACTTATTGTTCACCTGTCGGATCTGCTGGAATGATATCTTATAATGAATTCATAGATACTTATCACACCATAATGGTATATGTAAGAACCAATACAAATTTCAGAACTGATTAATACATAAGGATAGAGCACATCCATATGAAATACAGACTATAATAAAGGCAGTGTTGGGTGTTAAATAATCGCTGATAAAAACTTCCAGATGAGACAGTATTTTACACCTTAGGCGACATCCATTAAGTGCGTACGCAAAAATCTGGCAAGGCTTGACCCCTCCACTCATCCATGTACACATGCATACTTTTACAAGCCCCACCCCCGCGTACGTACCCGTCACCACATTTACCCCCTCTTAATATTATAGAAAGTCCTATATTAAGTATATTTCATCCACGCGTAAACGATCAAGAATTAATAATAGTAACGTGTTTAATTAAACAGATAATCCACCGACGTTGAATGTCTGGCTGCGTCAAAGAATAAACTGTGGAACTTTGAAAAGTTTGTCTAGCGTCTGCTAAAATTCAAACGGTCAAACAGGTTACGTATTATAGGAATATCGTCAACAGGCGCAATGTCATGCTTAAGCAGAGCAGTATTATCTGCAGTCTGCTGGTCTGTCGTCTCAGTATCCACATCTTTGCATACGTCATCATCCAGTTTTTGATTGTTCTCACTGTCAATAGTCTCAGTAAAGTGAATGCGTTGATGTCGTTTTACACTAGCCTACAA